CTTAAAGAGCTTCATCCTCTGGATAATTCTTTTCCACGTAAACTCGTGCCGTAGCTATGCTCTTCGTGGCAAGAGCTTCGGCCTTCGAGAGCTGCTTCTTAGCATGTAGGAATGGGGGCCTCACCACAGCTATCAGCCTTGTTTCGCATGTGCTGTCGATCAGGAACCCCTTGTGTACCATTATGTGGTCTACCCCGGCAACAGCTTATCTACCAGACGACTCTGGTCAAAGATAGCCTTGTCCGAGGCACGATCTCCATAGCCGCTGCTAATGTGGGTAATCAAACCAGCGGGTGAAACACCTACCATATACTTGATCGTGTGCCCTTTTTTGTAATGAGAGTATGTGCTTATACGACACTTAAGGCACTTAGGTGTGCCTACAGGAATCTCTGTGCAGTCAAGTACGATGCGAACATGAGAGTATTTCTGGAAGCACACCGGCATGTTATGCTGCACTTCATCCTTGGAAGGCCAGGTTATTGCATTTCTCAGAAACACAGCTAGGAGCTGTGCTGTGTTTCTGACGGTGGCACTTGCGGTTGATGGTGACACTCCAAAGATATTTGACAAGAAATCAAATGTCAGAGCATGCTTCAGTGCCATCATGGTCATGATTACTCTATCCCTTGCTGGCAGTGTAGTTCTTGCTGATTTCGGTGTCTTTCCAGACACGAGTTTCTCCAGAACACTGAGAAGCTCTATGTTGGGGATGCCCGTAAAAGAACATACATTACCCTGATCGATCATACGGGAAAAGTTTTCCCCAAAGTCACCACTCTACACCTGCACACCTCGGTGGAGAACTATTACAGGTGGGGTAGGCCTCTCCATCGAGCTTGCAGGTGGCGGCGTAGCACTTGAAGCTTCCGATGAATGTTCCTCTTTGTCGTCCTGATTACAGGCGTCCTCGGCCTCGCGAAGTGCGACCTAGAATGAAGTTGAACCATTTAATTACACATACCACAAGGCTCTATCACTCAATCGTGTTGGTTGCGTTCACAGCAACCGAAACAACAGCGTCTAAGTCACCTGGGCGAGCGTTCTCCGCACAGAGCGTAAGAACTAACGCAAAGGGTAGCCTTGTGAAGCAGCTAGGGCCATGTTTAACTCGATGCATGTCATATCTGTTTTTTGGGCTGCTGTGAATGCAATCGGTGCAAGTGTGCGAACCCATGAACAGAACTTAAGGGCGCAAACAAGCTGGTAGCAATGAAGCACTACGACAAAACTCCTCAGACTACGAATAAGCAAAGGACGACACATACATAGAAAGGCATTTTCGTGTATCTGTTGTCGTATGCTTACCCGCAGCTTCAGGGTTGTGTCGTAGTGTACGAACTGGTCACAGAGTCGCAGGTCTAGGTATTTAAGCCTCGTTCAGACAGTTGCGTTGATTGCTTTTGAAACGACTGGAACGACGACAGCGGTAAAGTCACTGGGACAAGCGTTCTCCGCACACAGCGTGAGAACTGATGCAAAGGGTAGCCTTGTGAAGCAGCTAGAAGCCACGGTTAATCCGATGCCTCAGTTAGTTTTGTGGTTTTAGTTCCTGCAGATGCAACCAATGCACATGAGTTAACTGTTCCGTAGTAAAAAACGTTTGTGAGTACAGGACTGGGGAAAGAAATGCACTGTTCTCTTTATAAGAAATTGCACATTGAACTGAAAAAAGAAGGAACTACTCATGATAAGATAGCCATGCAATGCAGCATCAGATATACCTCGGCCAACAGAGGCTCCACCACCGCCCTCTTCTCACGCCGCTTCTGGCGGCCTTCGTCCAGTTCTTTTGCCCTCTTCCTCTTCTCCACATTCTCAGTGGAAAGAACTGGCAGGTTTTGGGAGGGCACAGTTTCTTTCTTAAGGTGGCGCTTCTGAGCTGGGTATTCTGAAGTAAATATGATATATTGGTGATCGAGTTAGACAGCTTAACAAATTGGCTGCTCAGTTTCAAAGAGCTAGCAAAACAATCTTAGGTTTACACATTCAAATGTAGTTTTCGGCCGCCTACTCGCTGTTAGTACGAGTCTATCAAAGAGTACAAATGAACATACCTCTTACCTTTCCAAACTGGGGAAATTTTTTCAAACTCAAGGTACGCTATTATGCGAATGTCGCATGAAGACACCGAGGATGTTCTCTCCGAGTGTTTCACGTTGCATGAGCGGAAAAGAACAAAGAAGAGACGACACGAGCACACCGTCCCGTCTCTTATGTGTTTATTCGACTAGCACGCTCTACGGGTCGTTTCTAACGAGCGCGACGCTTGGTTTTCAAGCTCACGCTGTCGAGACGTGGACTTCACTACTGTAGCAACGATCGAGTGCAGTGTTAATACGCTGATCGCAATCTATCATAAGCACGTTCAACCGTTTTTATTGCGTCGCCGTTAAAGACGTTTACCGCGCGCCCAAAATGCCCGATAAATGTGCTGGAGCACTGAGGCCAGATTCACGAAACTATCTTACGCCAAAAATGTGCGTAAGACAAAACTTGAGAACAAATTCGTATTTACGAAACGAAATTTTAGTAAGTTTTGCGCAGGTTACGACGAAATCCTACGACAGCTCCGAAGCTGTTTTACTCACTTTTTACAATCAAATCCGCATGGCCGACAGCGTCGCTCAGTTACTTGGCCGCGACGACCAACGGACGTTTATTTTTCTACGTGCGCTTCTCACGCGTCCCGACTTCAAGCAGCAAAAAAAAAAGTAAAAAGTACTTGAAACAGACCACGACGAACAAGAACGCTGAATCCACAAACACCCGGGAAAAGCTCCAACGGCCACGATTCACCAAGCGAGCTCGGCAGATAGGCCTAGCAGGCACTCCGACTAGGCGCACCGGTGATCCGACGGTCCGTGGCCAAGACCGTCTGCTCACGACCGGCTGGCGTGCTGAATAGAATATGCCCCCGCGACCCTTGTGAACCCTCCTCGTATTATAGTTTGATCGCTGACCTCAATTTTAGATTAAGAGGTCAATCTCTTTCCTTTTGTCGTCTCCTTGTTTTCCGATGCAGCGGTGACGAACGCTGTCGTCGAAAAGGGACTCTCATCGATTCTAACTCTTCGTTTTGTGTGATATAGAGCTCAAATAAACGCCGTATGGATTATCTTCGCAACACGGTATGTACACTTTGTTATTAGTATGCCATTTGTATTCTGACACGACTGCACCTCACTGAGTTCGTGGGTCGCAATGCCGGTCCAACCTTTCTTTGCCGGGTGTCACCAGCGTATCGAGTTGCAATCGTAAAGGATCGGTCCCGAAGCGCTCACCAATTCGCGGTCCAACAGCGCGAACCCAGCACTTCGATCAAACGCGCACGTCCGCTCCGAGTGTTAACAGGTATGTTACGTGGCTCTTCCTGACACTGTCGTAGTTCAAACGTATCTTTTTTAACGTCGGCTCGCTCCTGCATCTCCGAGGCCGCGAAAAACGCCGCGGCAATTTGTTTCCATCTACGTCGCTTAGCAAACGACTGACACGGGCCATCTTTTACCTACGATGACAGTTGTGTTGTCTTCGTAGCGATCGAGTTCGTAGCAGTCAACGGAGGCGGTTACGTAGGGAGCCTTCATGTGTGCGCACATGAAGGCACCCTACGGTTACGCGTCCCGGCCTCGGCCTTCGGGCGTGTTTAAATCGTATCAGCGTCGACATATCACTGCACGGACACGAACCCCAGACAAGCGGTGGCAGGAAGGCCGCCTGTGTTTGATATTAAAAATCCACGTGCTCCGAATGGTTCGAACGGCTCCGAATCATGCCGAGCTCTCCGATTAATTCTTCGTGCTGCCAAAGACGCCGTCGCCATAGCAACAGCACCGGTAAGTTCTAGTTTTTCCGTACGACAACGTCGCTTTCCTCCTCTCACTTAAGAACGCGTTTGTGAATACCGATTTCTCCTCTTCTTACGATGTTCTTAACTTACGAACTTCTTAGCTAAGTTGTCGTGAACTAAGAAGCTCTTCGTGAATCTGGCCTCTGAGCCTCATTATTTGTCTCTCGATGCGCTTATCGCTGCACTAATTTTTCGAACCTGGTGATGCCGTTCCCGGATAACGCAACGCAACACGCGTCGGCACACTTTTACCTGGCAGGGCGTAGTTGCTCGAAGTAAAATGCCGCGAGCACACCGGCATGGTCTCGGTGTCACTTTTCCCAATCCGAAGGACGCGGACCCACTCCTCACGTCTGTTTACCACGTCTGGGCCCCTCCGACATGTTTCCCAGGCGTTCGGGAATCGGTGAAACGACAAATTATGGTCTTTCCACGTGGCAGCGGTGCATTGGGGCACCGAACTGTGCCGTTTGCACTTGGAGACGGCTGTTTTAGCGAGACGGTCGTCAACATCGCTGGGATCCGCAATAGCAGCTTCCCGGACACCCTCAAATATTTCGTTCTGGCTACCGCCACAAGAGGGCGAGCGGCGAACTGGAGACGCGATCAGACTTCCCTGCTTGTGTAAGGCTTGTATATAAATTCAAGCTTTACCTCGTTTCGCACTAGACTTTTGTAAAACCCTTCGCACAGTACAGTGGTTGTTTTATGTTAGTTTTGGCGAGGATGGCCAATTGTGAAAGAATCATCATCATCACCAAACCGACTGAAACAGTCGGTCGCCATTTTTTCGACAAGTCTTATCGAGCGATGTTTTCTGGACCGGCCAGATCCGAGCAATGCGACGTTTACCATTGTAATCGTTGCCCAATCTCGTTTCGATTGCACATCTGTCCCCTGCTGCAGTTGATGTTGTAATACAAGTGTTCTTTTCGTTTTTGCGTGATTCTTCTCGCCGAGACGCAACTTTTCCACGTGAAAGAGCCTTTAAACTCCTCTAGAAGCGCAGTATTGTTATAACTGAAGTAAACGTTCATTTCGTAGGCATCACAAGACAGCTGGCAGTGCATAATTTTTCTCCGTATATATAGCAAACGGAAGAAGCCCGCAGCTTAGTTAACAATTCCAGTCACGACAAAGTATTATCACAATGAATAAGTTTTTGCTTGTGACTACGTCAGCGATGATGCTACTGGCTTTACTTTTTACCAAAGATAACCAGTTCGGTAAGTAATTTTTGGCTGGGGCCAAATTTCGATGATCTAATCGATAGAAAATATGACGGGGTTGTTAGTAAGTATCCACGCAGGGCAGAATGATAGTAAATTTTATGAAAAGAGACAAGCGAGAAAGTTGTCTGCGTTCTATGTTGTCTGTAAGCAAGATTAGGCAAATATTTTTACGAATGAGAGACGAAGAGGCAGGAAAAAACGGAATTAACTAAATATTTAATGGGGGCGAACTTGTGCCAGAAACAAACAAAAAAAAAGAACAGAAGTCGAAAAAGGAGCAGCGACCGTTAACGGCGGCAGCAGCAAGCGACGCTATGTCGGCGCAACAGCTGGCTATCGCGAGAGAGAATCAGCGAATGAATAGGCACGTCACTCGGCTTTTTATCTACTATAGCCTCGTTTACATGAAAGCGACTTCAGCGCATCGACTCCAATCGTTCTTCGAACGAAGCCGACGCGGTAACGTTTACATGAATACGCACCAAGCCCTACACGAAGGTGGCGCCACGCCGTGTAAAAGCTCGAGTTAATGCAGTTCCGGCACCAGCCGCACCAAGTTTTCCGGTGCATCGCACGTGGAGGCCTTTCGACGCGTTCAGTGAACGTAAAGACCGTGCCCGCTGTCTTCGGTGCTGTGGAAGAAGTTACTAGACGGAAGAAACATGAAAACCCAAGCGTTTAGGGCTCCAGGCCGGGCCGCCGGGTCACTCTGGACCAGAGGCGACGTGTGTGCGCTCGCTTTGAGGACGCCTTCGCGCTTCGTCGCGCGAGACCTCGCCGATTGCGACCGGACCAACCGGACCCTGAGTCCGAAAAGCTCCTGCGCAGCCAGGAACGGCACCGAGGTAGGAGCTGCTCGTTCTGTGCTACCTTGCAGTGCTCTATACAGTGCTCGGAGCTCTCGGTGTCGTTCGTGCTTGCGCCGAAGCCTTTGGGACCCTTCGGACGCGCAAGTCGTACTTCGCAAGGGTTGGACGGGTGCCGCCCTCACAGAGCAGCTCCGCTATATTCCGCTTACTTATGATGGCAATAAAAACTCGTGTTTGTTCTCGGGAAAAAATTGCGGGCGCACATACGGAACCGCTATCCGCGCCGCCGACGAGGTTGGCCGCCGCCATGTTCTCAGCTGTTCACTCGCTCCCGCAGCAAGCGCCTTCCCATAAACCTCCCCGTTCCAAATGCGATGCGACCTCCGTTTACATGGGCTGAATGAATGCGCACTCGCGATCTCGATCCACCTCTGTCTAGCGACTTGAATGCGATGCGCTTTCTTTGCGCATTATGCCGTTTGCATGACCGCATTGAATGCGACAACTGGTTTCGATGCGACTAAGTCGCATTCATGTAAACACGGCTTATGTTCGTCATCTCGATTATTCAACCTAGAATGTTCGGAAAAGAGCTTGGGCGAGACTGACTAGACAAGGTCATTTCGGTCTCCTTATCGTTTACGCTCGGGGTAAGAGTGTACGCGGATCTTCTGTACTCCGTTTCATCTCCGTTTCACCTGGGGTGCCTACATGTTTCCGCCGCTCCGTTGTTTAGGGTGGCGACAAAGTTTGTGATGCCTGTTGCCGACAAACCAGTGTTGCCTACCTCGTTACCATGGCAACCTCCGCTGTTTTAGTCGACCATTTTGTCACACTCGCCGGTCGTGCGCTCGCACTACGCCGCTAATCCTCGTTAGGGCTAGGGAGCGCTCACCACTCTCGTTCTGACGGCGAGATTTCGGCGTGCAATGCCAGTTTGCTGCGTTCCATTTTGTCGTTGGAACTCGCGTTTCGCTAGAAGCAACGCACACTTCCTGCTCGCAACTTCAAAATATGAAACACCCGAATAAAGAGAGTGACAGCCATCACGAGCCGCCATCCCGCTGAGCCTCCGACTCCTTTTATGAACGGAAACGGTAGTGGCCTCACATTGTTGCCGGTGTTTCGGGACGTTTAGCGTTTAGCGATATAAGAAGTGGGAAAAAATGGCGGTGGGAGAGGATCTGGGAAAGGGTAACAAGAAGTTGGCGCCACCCTAAAGTTGAGCGGAAACATGTAGGCACCCTAGTTTCACCTTACGCCCGAGCGCCGGGGATGCTACGAGCCATCGGAGCCAATCCAAGGCCCTGTGAGTGTCACGTGACCTTAGAGAGGGTGCAGAGGGACGCGCGGAAAGCGTATCACGGGCTACGTCCACAGAATGGGATTGGCTAGGATAGCTTGTAGCGTCCGCCGCGTCCGGACGTAAGGTGAAGCGGAGTATACATGAACAGAAAAGCGTATCTTTTCGATCACACACGCGGCATTAGTCCCCCCTTTAAAAGTGCATCGGCCTGATGCAACACGAAATAAAACAAAATAATGGTAAGCTAAAAAAACTCCTCTGGAAAACGAAAAGTTCTACCCAGCATAGAACGGCTTGAATGTAACGATGTGAACCACCTCAGGTAGTGGTCGGCGTCGTGATGCTTGCATTTCGCCGTGCACTACTTCGTATTTGAGCTCCCCGAGGCGACGAAGTATATTGTATGGACTCAAGTACCGTTTCAAAAGTGTTTCCCTGAGGCCATGACGAGACTTATGGCTTCTATGCGCCAGGCATTTGAGGGGTTCATGTAAGTCTTTGGAATGCTCGACTTCTGCACGTTCCAGACAGCTCATGACAATATAATATTAATTGTATCAAGAGGTTTATACCCCTGTTACACGGGCACCCTTAACCGTGGTTAACCCAGATTTAACTGCGGTTACGTGACAGCACAGATGCCGCACTATACCCTCGGACAGCTATTTCAAAAGAAGTGAAAAGAGGGCGTGCACTGCTTCGATGGGTGCTCAAGATGCTCAAGCGCACGTTCGCCCATAGCTCTGACTGCATCGCCGCAGAATGTTGTCGGCAAGTATTGTGCGCTAATTCTGGTTTAGCGTAACTGCAGTTAAGTGTGCCCGTGTAACAGCGGTATTACTCATCTATAAGCGCTTTGTAGAGATTGGTAGTTTCTTGACACCATCGAAACTGAAGCAAATAGCGAAATAGCTGTTCACTGAAAAACACCGTAACTTTCGTACGTCTACCGTTGATGAATGGGTACCAAATATTATCCGCCATTAGCATACAACGATTCGGACTGATATTTCAGCCACTACTTGACACTGCGTTTGTGAAATGGTCTATTGAAACAATATTCGACTTTGCTCGCGATGGGCGTGCTTTAAACTTGAGAGCTACAAGTGCACATCATCTGCCTAGTTTACTAAATATAGGACAGTACAGTGGTTTCCGAAGTAGTTATCGAACAGTTAACGGTGGGCACAGAGGTTTACTAACGAGTTTCCCTGACTCACAAGAATGAGACACCTATCATAATATAAAGATGTAATAGGAAACGCAGTGGAAGCTCACTTTTTTTTTTTTTTTTGACGGCATGGATTTTTTTATCAAGGGTGTCCGGCTGCCGAGTTCGAACTGTTACCACGCGATAATCGTTCGAACGAGTGTTATTCAGACTTGCGCACGCCGAGAACAGAACATCTTAATGATGCTTCATGCGGCGCTAGTTTTCAGTTTATACTTTAGAAAAGTTTTTTATCTTGCAAATTGGTTTCTTTAATGTAAGGCACTAGGCAACAATCTCTACAGAACCAGCCACAAAAGCCGTACACATAAAATATATTGTACTGCCTATGCAAAAAAGACGTCAAACCAGCGCGTTATAGAAACCCTTAAGGTTCGCAAGCCCCATTATTTTTGCGACTTGTAAAATTCGCCAACTTTAGTGGGTACGAATATTTCTGTTGTCTGTGGAGACGAATGCCAGCCTTTAGAATTCGTGAAATTTAATGGTGGCGATTGACCCCGCTGTCCAATTAACAAAAAAATTCGAAACCGCAAGAAAAAAAAAAAAAAAAAAGGTTTTACGTCAGTTTGCCGAATTGCGTTCTTAACGGCAAGCTGCAGATTCTGGGCGGCGCCATAATCGGAATTACTCAAGCTTATGAAATTCGCTTAAAAGCTTTTTGGCTAAGCACTCCGTGCACTCGCCGAGAATGTTAGCGTCTTCTGCCTCCGTTCCCCATCCAGGAAAAGTGAAGGCCTTTATTAGTTATGACTCGTTGTTTGTCACCACGCGAAGGATATGAAAATTCAAAATTGTATTGTTAGCTGAAGAAAGAAAGGTAACAAAGTTTCCATATGTCACCTTGTGTGTTCCGCTGGACGCGCGCTGCGTCATATTCAGAGCGAATGCGAGCAGCTGTGTGGATGCCTTTCAGTCGAGGGAAACTAAGGAGGTATGTGTGAGCCGTGAAATTGTTGTGGACTAATGTGGCTTCGACTCCCAGGTAGCCTCCCATAGGCACAGACGTCCACACGTCGAGATTAATGCGCACGTCATCTGCTCTCAACAAAGACGCTAATATTTTGCGTCGAGGAGCAGATACTTTCAAAGGTAGCAACTTTTCTCGCAGGTCGGCACAAGATGGCAACTTGTGCCCGGAGTTGCGACCAGAATTTGGGCAAATACAATACAATTACCCTCATACTAGGTTTCAAAGGACTCTGTAAAACTCACCGACACAAATTGCTTGAATATCGCTCGAAAACGCGACACGGCTTCATTTCATTGTATAATATTTTGAGTATGGCTTTTCTTGAGTATGGCTTTTCGATGAGCCAATACAGAGCTGCACCCCAGCAATGAAGGCGGAAGTCATCTTTGGCTGGTTCACCTGCCCTTTTTCACCTTTAGCGCACCGATACGCGAATAAAGTTCGATGGTACGCCGACTGCACCGTGTATAGTTTCGTTGCACAACTTGCACCTTGTTTATTTTGTTCGCAACAAAAAGTGTCTTCCACAGTGCCATCACATCTGTCGTTTTCTTGTCTTCTCGTCCGAATTGTGATGTTCGCCTTTGCCCTGATCGAGTGGCGGGTTCAGGCAGCAGACGGTAGGACCGACCGATTTATTATTCCGCCTCGGTGTCTTGTTCGAACTGTGGCGAG